CGCAGTCCATCCACACACTTGTCAGCAAACGAATCATCGTGTTTTTATCGATATTATGTCTGAAGATTGTGTAGAGATCTCGCGATGTTTTAGATCTCTCTCCTGCCTCGAGAGTATCGCGTCATTCTAAATAGAATGCCTGCTTAGTGAGCTGATTTCTCGTACTTTCCGTCGTCACTTTTCTGTTGGAGCCTTTTAGCTGCAACTTGGACAGGATGTTTCCTATGGTCTTTTGCGCTCCCGCCTCGGTAGGGGTTTTCTCATTTCCTGATGTGTCCCTTTTCACCACAATTTTTTCTTTTTGTGTTAGTATCGTTTACTCCTGTGGATGTCGGGTCCCCCCCCCCCCCCCCCCCCCCATTTATTTTTTTCTGTCAAGAGCATCCACCACCCCCCCCCTCCCTTCCCCGCAACCCCCTGATTGGTCCAAAAGCACAGAAAATACACCACACAAATAAGACTTGTGTGAAAGAGTTCGGATAGAAACCATCAAATATTTAAAAAACTATTAGCCTAATTTGTGAGCAATACAAAGTCTATTTATTTGTGTAAAACGGATAAAAATGAACAAGAAAAGGGCTCCAAGTATGAGACGGTAGTGAAAGTGAAAGTAAAATTACAACGGCTAAGGATGTTCTCAGCTTGGCCTACAATGCCCACAACAGCCAGACCTCTACCCCAATTAAAATTGAAGCTAAGGAAGGACTTCCGTAATGAGCAACCATCCCAATAAACAAAATAAAAAGAGAACTAACCCTAACGGACGGTAACCCCGATCCTCTAACCAGTCCGACCGCCTGGAATCTAGAGCAAACCCAACATGTAACCCAAACCCTAGCCGGCAAATGTTCACTTTCTCGCATTTAATTCCGGTACTATTTTTCTATAGAATGAATTTAGAATAGGGCCTAGAGTCAACAACGGCCGCGCCTGGACAAAACTCTATGCATCCCCGACTGAGATATTCAAAACCTTGCGCAGGAGTTAAGAGTCAAAGTGACTAGATCTTCTATTCCAATCAGACAAAAATTATATTCGGACTCTGAATTGAGTCCAGGATGACGTCCGTTCCAACTTCCGATCCTTGCTCCTAAATATTTCCAGCATTTAGGAAACGAAGTGTATAGATCTACAGACCCGGTAACCGGGAACAAAGTCATGAAGTAGATCCGGTTGGGGAAATCTTTTGTGATTTCGGAAAGCTTGAGAGAGAGAGAGAGAGAGAGAGAGAGAGAGAGAGAGAGAGAGAGAGAGAGAGAGAGAGAGAGAGAGAGGGAGAGGGAGAGAGGGAGAGAGAGAGAGAGAGAGAGAGAGGAGGGGGTAGAGAGGAGGGGGTAGAGGACAGGGGGAAGTGCTAGCAAATATCACATGCCCTAGTTGACAGGAGGGAACGAGAGAAGGAAGAGGCTAGCCGTACTTAATGACGGCTAGACTCGCAGTCTAGCCGTACTTATTCTTAATATGATGGCTAGACTGACCATTTACAAAAAATAGGCCTACTGAATTGTAAATATATACATTTTTAGTGTACAGTACCTAAAGTATTTGTATTTGAGACGAAACCAGGTGCCTTAATGACAGTGCATGTATTTTAAACCTCCTGTTTTCTAATGTAAATAGGGCCTAAGATAAGTACGGCTAGACTGGCAGTCTAGCCGTACTTAAGTACGGCTAGACTTCTTGTCTAGCCGTACTTAAGTAGGGGTAGACAGCCAGGCTAGCCGTACTTAAGGACGGCTAGACTGTCAGGCTAGCCGTACTTAATATTGATGGCTGAATTGTAAATGAAATTTTTAGTTTGCAATGCCTAAAGTATTTGTATTTCAGACAAAATCAAAGGTGCCTTACTGACTTGCATGTATTTGAACCTGAATAATTACTAGATCTAGATCTAATGAGACCTGTGTACTTAACAGGCTTGAGTCGATAGGGCCAAACCTAGATCTAAGTACGGCTAGACTGGCAGTCTAGCCGTACTTAAGTACGGCTAGACTCT